TATGGTTCACGTGATGGTTAGCAGCCGATGATAACAGCGAAAAGAGACTCTCAACGGAACCGACTACTTAATAGTTGTGGTGAAGCTCCTCTTTCGGTTAGGAACCGCTGGTCGAACAACTTGAATAAGGAGAGGAGGCGTCTGGTTCGATGCGGTGTGGTCGAAAGATCCTGTTATCTTGGCATTGTTTCAGACAAAGATGAACATTAGATTCACTTGAATAAAAGGTACGATTACCTGCCAAGACCAAGATATTCGCCTGAAATTGTTGTGGATAAGGCTACTGATTTCAGCAGCATGAAGACGAAACAGCGCTCATTCGCAACGCGAGCGTTAGATGTTTCTCTGCAGTAAAATGCCACAAACCAGGTTTCATAACGAAAGCCTGACACGAAGACAAATGCGACGTATATCTTCCTCGTCAAAGCGGTGAAGAGAGATACCCAGCTTGTGCCGGACGACACTTTACGTACGGTTGAAATCGCCATCACTGATAGACCCTGAATTGGAAGGAAACGGTAGAGAATATCTTGAAACTGGCTGCACCGCATCCTCAATTTACGAAATCCGAGAAGCGATGTGATTGTTTGTGCTGAAAGTCGTGCGCCTTTGGCGACATTGGTGGGAACGAAAATCAAATCGGCTAAAGGCACTGGTTTTGGGATGCAGTCGATGTTGGTTGCTGCGAACAAATCAAAAGGGCTTTCAGAGCAGTCAGCCTTGCTCAGTTCTCATGGTCATGCTGAAACCGGTCACTGAGTATTGCAGGAGCTGCCAGGAACTACTCTGTTTATCATTTCCCTCCGATCCTAGACAGTATAATGTAATGACATCATTTACTAACTGCAGATGAACTATGAAGAACTTTCCATAGGTCATTGATGCAAGTCAGTGTATTGCGCAGCACTTCAGAAATTTTCGTTTCATATTCGATCAGGCGGTTTTGCCCTATTAACAATCAAGACCAGAAAGGCAGTCCATTGAAAAATCTGTTTTCTTTTTAATGTCTACTGGTAAGAGACGTATTAGAGAACAATACAAATTGTGGAGCCATCTTGTGATCAAGTAAATGCAATGGCTGTCATTTCAACCAATGACAGCCATTGCATTATGAATACTGAAATGAACAGATGAACAGATGTCTTTAGATGGTCATAATAAGTACAAAGGAAAGCGCCGGTTCATGAAGCCCTAAAGCCTTCGGCGTGCATTTCTCATAATTCAGCCGATGATAAGCGATCCATGCCGCTATCTGAAGAATAGCTGATTACTGTAGCTTCCTGCACATCACTCTGTAGTAATAAGCAGTTTGTCCGCATAGTCCCGCCAGGATCTCGCTATCTCTGCGTGGATTTTTCTTGTCTTGGCATGGCAGCCAACGATGCCTTCTAATAAGCGGCGGCACTTTTTAGTGGATCAAGCAACACTGGTGTACGTAACTGCTATTCAAGTTTTGTTAGCTTTAGCA